TGTCAAAGATGCCAGAGAGAAGTAAGAGTGGGAATAACAATTGCATGATTTCTATTGAGCAAGAAGGTAATAGAGAACTGTGTGCAGGGTAAAAGAGGCTAGACGGAGAAGAAAGGGTAAGGAATTGAAGAGGCTAGAGTGGACTGTGAATTATGATAGGATGACTAGGTCAAGGGAGTTTGGGGAAAACGGAGAGGAGAAAGCTTTAATTCTAGCAGTTTCCTTGATAGGATTCTTTAATGAATGTGAGGGATGAATGGCAAAAAGGGTTCCGTAAAGAATTTGACGGGATATCCTATGGTACAAAAGTGAAAGGGTGCCTAAATTATTGGATGAGTCTCATCTATGATTGCATGAGTCTAAGTTGGAATTCTTGTGCGAAGGTCGGGTTAGGAGCATTTTTTAAGTTGTCTTGATGTGGGGGCATTGTTTGCCTATTAAAGAGGCTTTGGGGAGCCTCTTCTCGTTTGGGTTGGCAGGAGATTAGAGTTGGTGCATGGTTCTCGATGTGAGATGATCTTCTCAATTAGCACGGTTTATGGTAAGGGAGATCGTAGCAGGACGTCTATCATGTGAGATGATCTTTACACAGTTAGAATACAGTGGATAACTTGCCGTGGAATGTGAGAGGGGAATCAAACATGGTTTTATATCACATAAAAGGGCTGGTAGGGGTTTCTTAAGTGCTGGATGGGAAGAGTTTAGGCAGGTATTGGATAGGTTGAAGCTAACTGATGTACCTCTCAGTGGTCGCCAGTGGTCAGATATGAGAGAAGATGCCTGCTTCTCCCAAATTGATTAGTTTTGATGTCTTCAGGACTTGATGAGGGGATACCTATTATGACTCAAATTGTTAGCTAGGGTTGGATTAGATCAATCACCATTTGAGGCCTTTACTTAAAGGGCCATAGATGGGTTCTCATTCAGTTTAGATTGGGAACTAAATTGTTAAGATTGCAAGCATTTGGGAAGATGATTAGGGGTTGGGGGAGGACGAGAATTTGGAAAATTTGTTCAGTAGCTAGAAAACTCATATGTCAAGTCTAGTACTAAAGCCTCGGCATTTCTGACTTATTTGGTGACTGTGCAGCAGTGAGGAAAGAATTATCCAGCGATATTGATGATTTAGATAAAAAAGAAAAAGCAAGAAGCCGCTTTGGACTGGGAGAGAGAGGAGATAGTTGGCTAACTTCATTGAAAAATGACGAGAAACAGAATGCCATTTATTGGACAATTACAAAGAAACTGGTGTAAAACAAAGCAAAAATCTTTTTACTTACTGCAGACATAAAAAGACTCGAATGAAACCCAATATAACATGTCATGTCTGAAAGAACATTATGCAT